TTGATGTTTCATTGAAAAACCAGATTTTTATTGTAAAGGCTGTGCTGTAGAGCACACAGCACTGCTGTGGCCTCCTTGGGGCTCAGGTGCACATAGACTGTGTCTACACAGTAGGATTCTATTCCCTGTGTTCAAATCTGGTGTGCTTTTTCTTTCCTTGTTGGGTCCAAAAGGAATTATTTGCTATTCTTGAAATCTCTTCCTTCAATTGTATTATTCTGATTATTACAGAGACCTGGAGAGCTATGACTTTATCTTGACTTCTCTACACTGCATAAGGAATTATTAGCAGCATTTTATATTGCACAACTGCAGGCACAATTTCATAGTGGCTTCATACATGCAAGTGAGTGTCACAGCAACAGTCTCTATGGTCCTCTAGGAATATATCATTACTTTTAACTCCTGTTGAAATAACTGCTTAATAAATGTTTATTGAAGTAGATGTGAGCAACTCACTGATGAGTTATTTATAAATTTCTCATCAGAAATAAAATTTTTATAGCAATGTGAATAGAAAGAATAATTGGCTATATCATCACATGCTTATTAATACAAACTATTTTTAAATGAGTTGCACCTAGTTTGGCGGAGAATGAAGCAAACTGAACTCTCTTCTGTCAAAAGAGAAGAATTGCTATTAATGTAAAACTGTTAGCATGAAATTTATCACAGCAAGGAGTTGATGCAATGTCATTCAATGAGCTGTTTTGATGGCACTACAGAAAGTACTGCCCTTTTGTTTTGTTTGTTTGTTTGTTTGATTGATTGATTTAGGACAGGGTGTATAGGGTCTCACTGCATAGATCAGAAAGGTATACAAGAAATAATTTCGGAACTAAAAAATATAGTGGTAACTATAATCAAAGAAGTACTAAGTGCTTCTAAAGAATACACTGACAAAAAATAGAGGAGAATATAAAAATGATGGAACCCCTGAATAAACAATTTAGGAAAGAAATAGAATCTATGAAACAGGTTCAAAGTGATATACAGGAAATTAAAACCTCAATCACAAGCTGGCAAAACCGTTTGCGTGAAAGTGAAAATAGACTTTCTGACCTGAAAGACACCATTGCAGCTAGTGACAAAGTAAGAAAAGATCTCTTTAAAACAACTAGGATGCAAGAAAAAATAATTCAATACCTGCAAGACGATGCAAAGATGAACAATGTGAGACTAATAGGCATCAATGAGAAGGAAGGAGTAAATACAAATGATATAAAAAGAATATGGGCAGAAGTAATAGCAGAAAACTTCCCAAATATGGGACAACAATCTGACATTCCTGTAACCGAAGCATACAGAACTCCAAATAATATCAATCCATTGAAAACCACACCCAGACATATAATAGTCAAGATTCCAGAAATTCAGCATAGGAACAGTATACTAAAAGCCGCTAAAGAAAAGAAACAGATCACATTTAAAGGAAAACCCATCAGAATTACGGCAGATTTTTCTTCACAAACCATCAAGTCAAGAAGAACATGGAGCAAAGTACTTCAAGTCTTGCAAGAAAACAAATTCCAACCCAGACTGATCTATCCTGCAAGACTATCTTTCAAATATAATGGAGAAGTGAAATATTTTCATGACAAAGAACAACTAAAGAATTTCATGATGACAAAGCCAAGCCTACACAGACTACTAAATGAGGTTCTAGAAAGGGAGCAAATTGATCATAGCCCCATGAATGAGAATGGAAAGAACCCATCAAATAGGGCAAACAAACAGAGGAGAATAAGAGGTTTACAATAGTAGTCTTTTAGTTATTCCTTTGTGTTCAGCAGCAGAATATTTTCATCAGCACACCCTACAAATAGACTTCTCTTCCACCCTATGAGTCATGATTCCACCTGAGTCTACAGGGTGGATTTCAAAGAAATAGCTGTAGCTCAGTTCTACAAGTGACGCCTAGCCACCAGTAACTGTCACGGTCATTATGCATGTCCACAACACATTAGAACTTTGTGCGATATCCTATCCTCAAACTGTTAAAAGTGCTGGTCATTTATTTGCCATTCCAGTATTTATCTTATGTTTTACTCTTAGTACTTCTTTGCTATCATGAAAACTTTTTCTTAGTTCAATTGTTTTGAATCATTTAATTTTCTGAATATTGCTTAATCTTAATTTTTGTTCTAAGATTTATACTGTACCTTTGACTTACAATTTATTTAAAAGACATTGTATGATATCTTCTAGTATTAGAAACTTTAAAAAGTATATTTCCATTTTCTGTTGACTTATAAAAAAGAGGTTTGTACCTATGTTATTTGCTTATTATTTCTTGCCTATGTCTTATAAAATGAGAAACTACTTTGGCAATAACAACACACAATGTACTAACCATTGTTACTCTCCTAAAATCTTGTTTTGAGATTTTGTACCACTGTTTTTATTTTTTTTTCTTTCTTTAAAATAAAAATAACTGATGTCAAGATCCAAGTAGTACAATGAAACATTACATTTAAATTAAGAATCAGACATATGTTTATTTTTACATGATGACCCATAAGAAGACAAATATCCACACAATCCTATCTAAATTGTCAATTACTTTATTTCAAGATAAAATCTCTGAAAAATTTTAAGGCCTGAGAAAATGAGACTGCCTAGGAGGTCGCATTGGATGAAACGTGAATTTGTAGAAATAATGCATTCTGAGACATTGAGAAGTAGCCTGGCTCTATCACCACCTCCATAGATTAGTTTATCTAGGTTATAAAATTATTACCCTGAATGGTACAGTGGAGAGTGTATAAGGCCATTTGGCAAGGTTTTCACAGACTATACATTTCTTAAGAAATCATTCTTGTTTCCTTTGACAGATTGTACCTTCCTTCTAAAAGTTAGTCTATGGATAAAGCTGGCAATGTAGATATTTCCTCAGAGCATGAGTTCTTACCATGGCACCAGACAGCAGAGCTGGAAACAGAGGCAGAACTTTCCATAGCATCTAATAAAGAGAGCTGACAGAAATAAAGCAGAATTTTCTCCTAATTGATGCTATCATCTTTTGAAATGTTCAAAAACCCAAAACATTTCCAAGCAAGAAAATTCAAAGATTCTGTTCTATTGGGAGCATTTGGATTTTTCACATAACAATATGTATACAGAAATGAAGTTAAGAAAATAAATTATTTTTTCCGTAATTTTATTTAGAAGCAAATAGCAATGAGACAGTTTCAAACCAAATTGGTAGGACAGTTTCAATAACTGACACATTGCATACATTCTTCCTAGTGGTTAATTGCTGTACAAGATGTGGACTTGATATTCTATTTACAAACACCATTAGAACAAATCCTTCTATTCATTAAGAAAATGTAACTATATGTCTATCCTAACAAGAAAATAAATTATTGAAAATTATATAACTTCAAATAATTGTAAGTGAACCAATCTTTTCATGGAACCATAATATTTCTTCTATTTTTAATTTTGAAAAAATAATAATAAAATGGTGGTTTGACAATTCTTTGTATTAAGAGAAGACAAATTCCTTTATATACTTCAATGAAAACTTTAGAAATTATTATTTAAAATAAATGTATTATATGGACAGAGTTTATTGTCTTAATTTCCATGATTTTGGTTCCCCTAACATAATTACAATTTATTTTTGTATTTTAAAGAGACTAAAGATAAAAAATGTTTCAAAATGAGATAATAGGAGGGTAACAATGATTAATACATTTTGTATTATTATCTTTGAATTACTCAGAGTACAAGACATAGACATTTAATAATCCAAACAATATTAGCACAAATCTTTCTTTTCAACGAACTAAAAGAAAGTAATAGCATAACTATCTAAACTACCTTGCGTGTGTGTGTGTGTGTGTGTGTGTGTTGTTGTTGTTGTTGTTTTGCTTTCCCTCCTTTTCTCCTTTCCCCCATTCAAGTTTCTCTTTCCTTTTGAATAATTTCTTCACATTTTACAATATCTATTGTATATTTTGGATCCTATTTACTCTTTCAGCTCATAATTACAAGTTAGAAAAATCAGTAATTTGAAAATACAGATTTATTGTGGCCCATCACCAAAAATTTAAACATGTTGCAATTGTTGGATTTCTTTAAAATTTATTGTATTTCTTTGGAATCTCTCTCTCTCTCTCTCTCTCTCTCTCTCTCTCTCTCTCTCTCTC